CAGAAGTGTGACTGTTCATATATGGGTCCCACTTTTTAATTTAGTGGCAGCTATAACTTGCCAAATAAGCAGTGCTGATGTGGAAACACCGAAAAATTTCACTTTTGACCTCCTTTTATTGCTCTCCACCTACCTCTACCTATGCACTCATGGAGAGCACGAGAATTTCAAACCATCGTTGAACTTTTTTCTTTTTTGCTCTATTCATCTAGTACAATCAAAGCAAGCAAGGGTGTTGTTTCTTCATAATGTAACCTAATTGCAATCAAATAAGGTCCAAGTATGATCTCAATTTGCTAAAACTAGTTCTATCAAGAGGGCACCATCAAACAAGGAGGCGACGAAGGGGTTTGGGAAGAAATATCCAATGGTGAGGATTCTTCAAGGCTACGGATTAATTGATTAACCGAGTCGACACAATTGGTACTTCCACAGATACGTTAAGCTAGAGGAGAGTAGGGAATAGATATGGCTAGGTTGCTTCGCCGATCATGGAGGCAAAGATTGTGGACCCAGAGAGTGGAAAACCTTTACCGGCGAACAGATCGGTGAGCTTTGGCTCAAAGGTCCTTCTATTATGAAAGGTAAAAAGCAAATTACCATATTTTATCGTTTCTATTTGTCGTTGATGAGCGTGAATAAAGATAAGCTAACAATCTTCTTCTTTGCAAAACAAAATATGGGAATCCATTGTTAGAAAATCCTCCTTTAAAACAACATTCTATAATAAATAATTTAAATAATAAGCAAGATAATTGTATATTTGTTTGTTAAATATAGTGTTTAATTAATGTTGTTTAATATTCTATCATTCAGAAACTTGTTACCACGTAATCTAGGAGATGTATTTTTTTTTTCTTCTCAAACATGCACTACACCATAACATTTACTAGCCGGTTCATAGTTACCATTTAGAATTTAAGCTATATGAATAGTAGTTTTTGGTTTACAAATCAAATCAAAGTTATTGATTTAGTATTTTAGTTCTTTTAAGTTCTTATTGTTACTTCTGTGATTTTCATTCTATAATGTCTTGTTCACATGTTGTTTCTGCACCCACGTAGAGTATTAAATGACATCAAAAGTGAATTTTTTAGCATTTCCACGTCAGCCGCATTTTTTTGGCAAGTTTTTCAGTTATGGTACACCACATCAGTTGCCACATAATTAAAAAGTGGGACCCATACATGCACAATCACACTTCCGGAAAGCCACGTCATCCGGAGACACCAAAATAGAAAGTTTACAAAATTAAAACTCCCGATCGTTCTCGTTTTCTGATGGGACACCAAAATAAAAAAAAATAAAAACTTTGGATACGAAAGATATAATTATCCTGATATCATTCTACTATTAGACCAAAAAGTTTCCTGATTCAACTAAATTTTTAAAAGTTACAAATTTAGGTGTCAAACTTTTGTTTAAGATTTATTTATCTTCATCCTCATTAATTTAACAGTATGTACATTTTATTATTTTAAAATGTTATATTATCTATAATACAAGCATATTAAATTGATGTCAATTTAATAGAATAAAATCAACATCTATTTAATAAATATTGCAAGTAAAGAACTGAGGTAATACTTTAAGTAGGTTTTTCTCGGCTTATAAGATATTTATTTTGCGAAATTAGTGGTTCATTGCCAAAAAGAATTAGTATATTTTCATTTAGAACAATTATATTTTTAAATTGATAAACAACAATAAAAAGTTTATTAAAATTCATAATTCTATGTGAAATTCAACGCATGATGAAAATAAATTTTAAAATAAGAATACTTAAACTATTACATTTAAGTATAATTGTTTACATAACTAATAATAAGTTATATAACTATACACAAAATCTAATATGGTGATACTGTGCACGCCTTGCATTCTCACATTTACAATAAATGATTTGAGATACCGGTGAATATGCAAAAACTTTTTGCCAAGATTCATCATTATGATTTTTTCGCACTCATACAGAAACATAAATATAAATTTATCATACGTTTTCACATAGTCACGATTCCAAATATTATTAGTAAGTAGAAAATACTATAAAGGGATTGTCATAAATATGACATTCAATTTCTCTGCCTTGTTAATATTATAGCCGATATTAATTAACTTTTGCAATATATCGCTAACGCTAATCATGTGCTTCTGCAAATTTCTGGATTTCAGATTTACTCTAAGTGCATATATTTCTTTAAACATTTTTTTGACTTTCTACTTTGCATATTCTCCTCCAAATACTCTCAGGTTAAGTATAGTTGCAACCATCTGCTAATCATACAGAATTAATGCTCAACATTAATTACTTATATTTCTTATGTATATAATTGTTTTAGCAAAAAATCATATATAAAATACTCTTGTTATTCCAAAATAATAATCTACATTGCTATTTTATTTAAAAAAATAAACAAGTCAAAAAGTTATAATGATTTTGTCGCACATTTTCAGGATTCTAATTTTATTGCCAACTTGACTTAAATAACATTTATTCATTAGCCTATTTTTAATAATGAAATTATTTTAATAATGAAATTGAATATCATATTAAAATATATATTTAACTCTATCGAGCATTACAACAAAGGAAGTGAAGGCACAAAGTATAAATTGTCCAATTACCTCACTTTATGTCATATTAAAGTAATAATTAGAAATTATTTTTTCAATTACTTCACTTTATGTCAAACTCAAATATTATGAATTGTCCTTTTAACAAGATTATGATGGATAATTAATTCTACAACCTCCTCTCACGTCTTACATGTTTGTTAAATTAATACAACCTCATCCAAAAATATAAAAATAAAAAATAAAAAACTTTATTTATTCATCAAAGTTATATTTTAACTTTTTTATAAAATAATAGTCCACTGAGATGGGTGATTAATTCTTGAAAAAAATAAAGCAAAATAAAAAATTAAATTAAAATGAATTTGACATATAAATACAATTATTTTACCTTCAAATGAGAGGACCACTTTTGCTTTTAATGCCAAGTTTAAAACAAAACAAATACACAATATAGTAAGAAAAAAAAAATCATATCTGAACATAATAAAATATTTACCCACTTAACAAATATGTAACTAAATATATTAACAAAAATAAATAAATCTTATATATTAACAAATATATTAAATCTTACCAAAGCAAGAAGAAGAAACTAAGAGAGAAGCACTTGCCTGTAAATAAATGGGAGAAGCAATATTTTTTACCCTATATACACTTACAACGAACAAAGTTTCACAGATTGGAATAGTTGAATAGTAAATATTCTATTGCACATTGTGTAAAATTTCTTTCTTTTAATAATTTACACTTCTTCCAGCTCTTACACCCGACACAAGAATATTTTCCTTCTCCATTAAATCTTTTTCACAGCATCAAATCATTCACGTGTAAACGAAATATATTGTTACACTAACAATGACACAATATATATTTTATATTTGAAGGTTGTTACACTATAATTTTTTGGCTGTTAATTGGAGTGGCGTGAAAATCTCACCTATAAATTGTTACACTTACAGTGTAATAATTGAACCTTTGCGTAAATAATATATTTTTTTTGACATTGTGTAATTGTTTCACTTGTAATGCAACATTCAATTTGAGAAGAATGAAGAGAGAATATTAGTATATAAAGCCGCTGGACTGCGTTTTTAACAAATTAAAATTTATTGCTTTATAATGTAACAAATGTATTATTTCAAAAAACATCATTTTAGAAATTAGTTTTTTTTTTTTTTTTTTTTTTAATTAAAATTTAATATGCTTTTAATGTACAAAATGTAATATATTTTCACAATTTAGAAATTCAATTTTTTTTTTTTTTTTTTTTTTTGCAAAAACACCATTTTGGAAAGAATCCCTATTCAAAAACAAAACGGGATGATTTTTGGCTACTGACGATAGGTTTGAACCTTAAGAGAAGACAAATGTAAATTTAATAAAAAAAGAAGTAAAAAAGAAGACAAGGGTTAAGGTCCTTGGAAAAAAAAAAAAAAGGGTACGATACACGTTGGATTTCCAAGATTTTTATTTTGGACAGAGATTTCCAAGATTCAGACAACATCTTATGCATTTATTTAGTTGTTGGACGTACGCGTAGGTCTTTCGGTTCAGTTTGAACCGAATCGGTACCAAAATTTTTTTTGAAAAATAAAAATAAACTGAATCGTTAAAATATAAAACTCATTAACTTGTTTAATTTAGTTAATTTATTTAATTTTTAGCTAGATTTTGGATTTGAAGTCGTTGTTTGAACCTAATAAAAATTAAATCAAATTGAAAACACCTCAATTTTTTTATTAAAAGTAAAATAAAATCAATCAATTAGAGTTAGATCATTAGGCGTGTATTAATTCAAGTTAATTTTACTTAAAAGATTGTACATTATTAGGACAATTTTATCTGAATGTTACTTTCAATCTAGATCAGATTATTCTATTCACATAAGATTTAATTATAGGCATAACCATGATTTATTTTCAAATTAGAACCAAATTGGTTAAAATGATATTAAATTATGGTCAATAATTTCTAGTGTGAAACCATAATTGAAACCTTACATATGTCCATTGGTAGTTCCAATTTGAAATACAAAGAAAAAATCTCAAAGAAACTCCTAATTTATTTTCGTTATATCATGATTTAAAGAGTTTTTATTAAACTCATTTTGCCTTTTTTAATACTAATTATTATTATTATTATTATTATTATTATAAACTATAAAATTTAGAAAACGTGAAAAAAATTGCATCATTTCAATTTGAAGCTACCTAAAAATCGATTGATTTCAAATTTATCTTTTTGTAAACCAAAACCGACAGTGTTCAAACCAAAATCAACGCCCGATATCTAACACAGTTGGTTAATCAGAATTCGAATTTTACAGAAATTCATTATGGAAGCGATCCTGTTAACCCAGTATTTTTCAACGACAACATCAGAATTCGAACGCTAAATTACTTAAAGGACCAAGAGACTCATCTCAGTAGACCAACCGGCAGTTGGTAGCCTAATCCAATATATTAAAGCCCTTGTTGGACCTCCTTTCAAAATTACCCTTTTGTCATCTTCCTTGGAGTTTTTTATTTTTCGGTTCTACTAACTTAGCTGCTTTAATTCAAACTTCTGACACAAATATACACGCACTCTCTATCAAAAGAATTTCAAATTTCGTCAAAAAAGAATTTCAAATGGTCTCTCAAATGGACATATTTTCTCTCACAGCTCGGACGGGAAGCTAACTGCAGAAGGTGAGTTTCTTATTTCTAGCTTTTAGTACCTCTACTTTAGCTGTGAACATGGAGCTTATATTCTCTCCAGCAGTGTCAACTGTTTGGTTGTCGAGAAACATATGTGAAAGAAGCAAATGCCAGACGCTGTACTGAAATTCCAGCTCTGGTTTTGCCTCTTTTGATTTCAGTTCCTCAGCAACCAAACGCGTACTTCTGAAGGATCTATTAAACGTTTTTACTATAAACTGAAATTTAGTGAAACATGCAATATTTTCAGATCTATCTGTTTCCTCCTGTTGTCTTCATTTCAAAATTTTCACAACCAGAAGCAGAGAGAACTTTCAAAATTTGTAACACGAGCGTGGCGGCGCGTGTACCGCGCGCATGCCCCTCCTGTTTTAATTTTTGGTCACTTTTTTCATGCTTCTGCTCATCTATTACTTTAGCTTTTGTCGCTTCTCAGTAAAAGCTTGACAGAAAAGACGCAAGTGCCCTTGATAGGTTCCGAAACTTGAAATTTGAGCGGAAGTGTCCTGTAGTTCTGCAGGTTTTGATTGATGTATTAGTGGCGTTGCCATTTCAAATGGTTTTACAACTAGCCTGCGCTGCGCACAGTCGGATATAGTGATTTAAAGTAACACGGAGGGTGGAGGGTTGATGGGTGACGGGTCAATAATGTTTTTCCTTGGAATAGGTTGAGTTGGGTCATTTTAATTGTTTTATTTTATTACTACTCTAAAACGTATGACTAGAGATTTTAGGGTGGAATTGACAATGCAAGCCAGAACAGGAGGATGGGATATCATATGAATTAGCAACTATAAATATTTACCTTTTGTTTTTCGATTCTTTTTATATTGACAGTTATAGTATATGACCTTTGTTAACTTTTTTTTACTTCACCTTCACTTTTTAGGTTCATTGGAGAACAATTCTGTAACTATTAGCCGCTTGTTGCTGTCTACCAATCAATACTCCGTAAGCTGATCAAATGCCGAGATCAAGGTAACTGAACCCAATTGTCACAAATTTGCAGTGTGAGTGTGTATGCTTATGAGTTGCCATTTATATTGATTGTATTTCTTCTAGTGCAAAGGTGACAAATGCTAAGTATAACATGAATAAGCATGTTGACAAATGCGGTGAATGGTGAAGGATATTTGTGCTTAAATTCTAAAAGCATTGCTTTGCTTAGTAAGTCTTAAAAGTGCATTATTATTATTATTATTATTATTATTATTATTATTATTTTGATTTAGGACTTAAAAGAGATGCTTGTTTTCATTATTGAGTCAGGAATGAAATTAGGTTGTCATAATAACTTTACAGAAAGTGTCAATTTATTAAATAATGACTACCATTTTCGATTTTCATGGTGAGCAGGGGTTCAGATATGCCTCAAAGGCAGTCTACTCGAGGTCCTCATCCACTTAGCTCTGAGTCAGACTCACATTCACTGCATCATCGATCAGTTAGGAATCCAAGTTCCAAGCTGGGAGATCGTCGATCACCACGGGGTCCCCATACTGAATCACTAGATCAAAAGAAATTAGGCACCCGCATTGCGGACTTAGAATCTCAGCTTGGCCAAGCACAGGAAGAGCTGAAGATTCTCAAAGAGCAGTTAGCATCTGCGGAAGCTGCAAAGAAAGAATTGGAGACGAACGCAAAGAAACCAGTTGCTTTAGAATCTGAAGGACATCCTTCGACTGAAATCCAGCACCTCAAAATAGCAGACAGCAATGCTGCAGATGAAATTTCCAATGACAACCTGCAGGAAACTGATGTTTCTCAAGTTCCAATAGAAAAAGACACTGTGGAAGCCCAGATACAATTAACTGTTCAGGTTGAAAAAGGAAAGCACGCAATTGAAATAACTCAACCACCTGAAATTTCTAAGCCAGATGAACCATCATTCCCTGACTTGGCTTTAAAAGATGACGAGATAAATATGCTAAAAGCCAAGTTAGAAAATAAAGAACATGAATTGGAAATTAAAGGGAATGAGAATAAGCATTTGAAGAATCTGCTGAATGAAGCAAATTCTAGCAATTCAGTTGCCAAAGAGAAGGAAGAAGAAATGTTATCCAAGTTAAGCCAAATGGGAAAAGAGCTGGAAGAAAGCCAAGCAAATGCAGATCATTTAAAAGGTAAGCTGGAAGCTGCAGAAGAAGCCAGGGAAGCTTTGGAAACGGAAATAAGGAAGATGAGAGTGCAGACAGAGCAGTGGAGAAAAGCGGCAGATGCAGCAGCAGCAGTGCTTGCTGGAGCAGTGGAGATCAATGGCAGGATTACTGAGAGGTGTGGTTCAATGGATAAGCATTTTGGTGATGGTGTATTTGAATCACCAGCTGGTTTTGTGGGATCACCTGGAGTGGCTGATGATTTTGATTATGGTTTTGGAAGTGGAAAACGAAAGGGTTCTGGTATTAAAATGTTTGGAGATTTGTGGAAAAAGAAGGGCCACAAGTAGAGAGACCCTTGTGATATTCTCAATTCTCATGCTACCCAAATGCATTCTTATGTGCATCTGCAATTAGTGTTAAGATTGACTTGTAACCTTCTAGAGATTGTCTTAATTAATTATATAATGGGCTTTCATTTATGGTCTAGGGATTTGAAATTGGAGGTTGACCAAAATTAATCATAAATCGGAAAACAGTTTGAAATTCAAATAAGAAAATACTCCCTCAGATCTCCGCCAAACCATACAAAAATTCCCAAACCTTGCAGATTCTTTTAATTTTACTCTAAATGCAATTTTCTTCTCTTAATATTTTGAATTTAAAAACTAATTATAATTGCAAATGCAATTTGTAATTTAATTCATTTTATTCAATTTTTATGGGACCTACACTTTTTTTCATAGTTAGTTTAATCCAAACAATTAGTTAAATTAAAACACACCGTTTTTTTTTTAATAAAAATAAATAAATTTTCAAATCATACATCACTGTCGTCTTCATCTGCCTCTCTTCTGCTCTATCTCCCGCTCTCTTTCTGTGTTGTTGAACCAAAGGTAAAATCTTCTTTTCCATCTCAATCACTTCTTTCTCTTTTTCATTTATATAATATTGATTTCCTCTTTCTCCAAATTTGGCGAAGGATTTTCTTTTGAATTTCGCTAATGCAATTGGCGAAGCCAAATATATGAATATTCTGGTAAGTTTCCTCAATTTTTTTTTTCACATTTCTACATCTAATCTCCAAATAATAATACGCATAAAAAAATAGAAAAACCCGATCGATTGGTTGCTCAAAATGATTGTCGAATGCTAATTATTTATACAATCTCTAACATCAGCTTTATTGTTTTTTTATGTTTAGCAAGATGTTGAAAATCATAAGATACATGCGGTTAAGATAGATCTCGATAACCTTCTTAATGTAAATTTTTGTTCCCCTTCACGTTTGTATATGATACTGTTATGTTAATACAAATTCTTCGTTTGGTTTTTAACTTTAAAATCTAAACTCTTAATGTACTGTTAATTAACTGTTTTGCAGTATAAGGATTTAGATGAAGAATTCTTCAGATGAGTTATTAAGAATACTTGTCGATATATTGGGATTTTTGCTGCTGCAATTGATGAATTGACATATTAATAATACAAAGATCTCAAAATGAGAATATGAATGAGAATGTTGATGGTTCTGATCGTAGCATAAGATGCCTGTAGAGATAAAGTGTTCCTTGTGAGTTTCTCGAATAACTTCTTTTGCTTAACATTCTGTCAAATTTGTTCTAGACAATAGTTTTTTATGGATGGATTTTTAGACATTCAATTGAATCGCCGGATTGTTTCAATTTTGAGATTTCTAGCATTTATGTTATTGGACCTTTTTTTACCATAGGATTGGAATTGGAGCTAGAGATAATTTATAAGCATGAGTATGTTTATTAAAAAAAGAAAAGAAAAAGAAAAAAAAACTAAATCTTGTGAATTTAACACCTCTATTTTTTGAAAATTCTAGAATTTTAAACACTGTTATTTCTAATCCCATTTCTTAACATGTTTGATTTCTAGCATTTATTGTTATTGGACCTTTTTTTTACCATAGGATTGGCAATTGGAGCTAGAAGATAATTTTATAAGCATGGAGTATGTTTATTAAAAAAAGAAAAGAAAAAGAAAAAAAAAACTAAATCTTGTGAATTTAACACCCTCTATTTTGAAAATTCTAGAATTTTTAAACACTGTTATTTCTAATCCCATTTTCTTAAAATGTTTGGTTATGCTTTGTAATTTTGATAAATATGTGAAACATGTTTGTTATGCTTGTAATTGATAAATATTGAATGTTAAACCGCGCAGATGTTAGTAGTGGTTTATCAATTAAAATAGATTCATAGCTACAATACAGATTATTAATAACCTTTTAACATAATCTTTATTAATTAATATCTCCTTATTAGTTATTGAGATTTGGACTGATGTTTTTTAAGCATACAATTCGTCACTTAATATAATGTGTTGTTACTTTGATGTAGTTGATTTACGCAGTTGCTTGCTTTCTTGATTCAGTGAAGTTTATATTAGAGCACCTTCAAAGGGACGACCATTTACTATTAGAGAGGTTAAAGCTTCAAAAACTACTTAGTTGCTTGCTTGATTTGTTGAGGGCTGAGGATGCAGAAATTGGAGTTGCAAATGGAAATAAAAGAAATATGTTATTTACACATGTTTAGTGATGCTTGTACTAATTTAGATGTATAATTTGAGTTCTAGGATTGAGAAACTTATTTATTTGCCTTGATTTAATTCAATAGCTCTAGTTTGAGTTGGAGCTATCATCCTAGTTGTAATGGAACTCATTTTCAATTAATGACTTCGTCTTTTTCTGTCAATGATAAACCTAATTCAGTTTATGATGAGCTTGTATTTTGATAATCAATTAAGATATGAAATTTATTGTTGCATTTTGCATTAAAGCATTTTACTTTGTATTAAATCTTGAATCACCTAAATTCATCCTTAAATTAGCATCTTTCCTGCATTTTTTTCAATAAAGTCGACAAGTTACATTCAAAATGAATCTTAAACAAGCAAAATGTTGGTGTATAGTTGCGTTTGTATTATAATAATATATTATATATATATATAATATATATATATAAAGTAAATAAATATAAAGTAAATAAAAGTATAATTCTACTAGATTGTTGAAAAGTAATATATATTGCCAAAAATAGCATTTTGTTTATATGAAATGTTTTGTCCTTACAATATATCCTGCTTTTTTAGAACAGGCCTTTAGTTTAGGCTCGGGTGGTTTCTGATCCAACCATGTAGCACTTTATATGCTTATGCTACTTGAATTGTTGCATCTTCTTTTGTAAAAACTTGGCCATTTTTATATATCAGATTATCGGATTTTATTTGTATGTTTGATATGCTTGTTTTCCTTTATTCTGTATTGAATGCTTGCTTTTTTGACCCTGCATTGATTTGCCTATTTCATTTGTGGTTGCACTAACTATCGATTTTGTATTGAACTTTGCACTGATTTTTTGATTTTGGCACTAAATGGCCTGATTTGAAATTTTGCACTAATTGCCTGTCCTAGAAACCTTGCACTGATTGCCACTGTTTAAGACTACTACTTGCACTGACTGGCTATCCTGGAAACCTTGCATTGACTGCATTGATTTTCTAATTTTGACACTGATTGCTATTTTTACATGAAATATATATGATAATTCATTTATTTGTTGTTCTTATCTTTTTTTTTTTTTTTTTTTTTTTTTTTTTTTTTGTCTTATAACTTTCATTTTATAAACCCTAATTTGGAAATTTTTCATTGCATTTGGCCCGTTTTTTTTTTTTTTTTTTTTTTTTTGTCTTATAACTTTCATTTTATAACCCTAATTTGGAATTTTTCATTGATTGCCCGTCTTAGAAACCTTGCATTGATTGCATTGTTTTAGACTGCTGCTTGCACTGACTGCCTGTTCTGGAAACCTTGCACTGACTGCACTAATTATTCTAGTTTGGCACTAATTTCCTTGAATATCACTTACATTGATTGTCTGTTCTGCACTGACTGCTCGAATTTTTGATCTATGCACTGATTTGCCTATTATTGCTTCAATTATTGACTTGAAATCATGGTTAGTAGACAAAATAATGTGCATGATGGCTAATTCTGAATCACGACTCAACCTCTAAATAAGTGCTTTCGAAAATTTTAGGTCCGACTTGCCAAAATTAATTTTGAGTCTGAATATTCAGTTTTGATAAAAATTTATTCAACTTGCCACTTGAAAATCAGACTTCTCGTGAAAATTTTATCCCATTCGTAGTCTGAAAATCCCAAATTTTGTAAAATAGTTGATTTTTGTTTGAAAACTGCATTTTTCATTGAAACTTGTCAGGTTTTCTGAAAAACTAGGGATTTTTGAGAAAGAGTAAGGAATTTTGAAGAAAGGAGGGGTTGGCCGGTACTGAGAATGTTTCTATCGGGATCGATGAAGTCCTTACGGTATCGACAGAGGGGCCATTGATGGGCCTTCCTGGTACTGGAGCTCGGCTAGTTGGTTTCGGTGCTGGGATGGTCGGTACCACCGACCTAAGCAGCTTGGTAGTTGGAGGCCTATAAATATACCTCATTTATGGCTAGAAAATAGTGGCATTTTATGCCTCGGGGTCCGATTTTTGTGAAAATTTAAGCATTTGCCCCAAAGATGGAGCCATTTTTCAGTCATGGCATGCAAATGTGGACCAAGAAATTGGAAAAGGTCAAGAAAATAAATTGAAGCCGATATGTTATGGCTACTTTAGTATCTTTGAGAGGCTTACGAGTTGATCAGGCTTTTATGGATGCATGTTTGCATTTGTGGGATCCACAGGCACATGTGTTTTGGTTTGGCATGCACTACGAGGAGATGTGCCTGACCTATGAGGAATTTGTAGCACTTTTGCGTAGTGACTCAGAGAGGGCTCCGATGGCTGCACCGACCAAGTCTAGGTCTTTTAGGACCTTCATGAGGATGTTAGATCTGTTAGTGGAGGAGGCTAGGGAGGACCAGGCTAATTTGGCTCATCAAGCGATATCTAGATTCGTTGGATGTCACAGATATAGAGTTTCAAAGGTTCAAGATTAGGGCTCTGCTTTTCTGTTAGTGAGCAATTGTGTATTGATTGCTCCAATTGGCTGGGGTATGAAAGTGGCTGATTTGGTGTTGCAGATGGAGCGAGGGGCAAGGATAGCCAACATAGCTTTGGCTGAGACCATCCTGGAGCATATCGGGTTGATGGGATATAGTATGCTAGCTCGATCCTGCTTCAAGTAAGCATTCTCGAACTAGCTTGATTTGAGTTTGGTTTTAGTGCTTTCTGAAAAAGGCCTTAGGTTTTGAGTAGTAACTGTTTCTGGGGTTTTGCATGTGAATGCCTATTTAGGATTTAGAGAGGGTTCAAAGTTTGATTTTGCATGTTTTTTAGGAAAAGGCTTAAGTGTTTAGGCTAGGGCAACTAAATCTATTTGGTTTTCTAAAAGCTTTACATGTGTTGCAATGTCTGATCTTGTAGATTTGGCTGAGGGATTATTTGAGGGTGGTTGAGCCACCACAACGCTGCCCATATGAGCCATCTCAATACAGATATAGGTGAGTCATGGTGAGGCTCGAGTCTAAGGATGAGTGACTATAGTGGCTAATGGGGCTAAGGCCGAATCATATTTTATGGAGATGTGAATGGTATAGTATTAGGAGATTTCTGGTTCGGCCAGCTAGGCTTCAGATGGCTTATCTATTGGGCATGGACCATATCAACTTCTACCCAGGCTCCAGGCTGATGAGGCAGAAAGGGCATACTCAGGGATTACCGCCAGCCGGTGTGATTTTTGAGAATACACTAATTTCACCTTAAGTTACTGTGGCTATACTAGGGGAGCACATGTGGTTGAGGCTGGGATTTTTGGAGCTAGGACTGCTGCTTATGAGGCTTGTTGATAGTCCTAGACTCTACTAGACAGGTGACCCGGAGGACTCTGACGACTCGAGGGACATATATCCAATGCGACGTAGATGGACTAACTAGACCTTTGGTGCATGCCGACCTTATTATAGGGTGTGTTTTTTACTTTTTGATTTTTAACTCAGCCTGTGCTTTTGTGAGGGCTTCGAGATAGATTACTGACCCATAATGTGTAGAGGGTACAGTTGAAACACTAGATATTTTGACACTTTGGATAGTAGACACAGATAGTTGACACATAGATTGACAAAGATAGATGCCTAGATGATTGGACTTTTTGTGATTTGCTTTTTACATAATTAGTATTGATTTGAGAGATATGTAAAAAGGGAATCATTTTGATACTTTTGATTAAAAAGGAAATCCAGTTTTAACTTTTATGAGATTGTCGCTTTTATACCTTAATTTTTGCTTAAACTACCCTTGCGGGTTTTCGATTTTGCAGGCTACCCTGACTTTTGCCTAGGCCGCTTGCCCTTTAGGTTTTCAACTTAGCTATACTTATTTTTGCCTGAATTATCCTTTGCAGGTTTTCAATTTAGCTCTTTTTTTTAGTTGGCACAGAAAATTTGGAATTTTCATGAAAGGGGCAAAATATATTTTTATTATTATTGTGAGCGCACCTACAGGCTGGCTACCTACGTATCTCATACTTTTGGAACATATTTTCGGTAGTCAGGTCACTACAATTTTGATTTACAGTGACATGCAAAAGAAGGCAATAATTCTGGTGCTAATGCCTATATGCATTTACACAAAGTATCTCTTGAGTTGATCCAAGTTGCATGGATTGGTGAATTTGTTGCCATCAATGTCTAACCAGATGACATTGCCTTCGGAGAGGATTTTCTTCAGGATGTAAGGGCCTGCCCAGTTTGGCCTGAATTTACCCCGAGGATCTTGCACAAGAGCTATGATTTCCTTGAGTATAAGAAACCCTTCTTCTAGTTTTTGAACTCGGATTCTCTTGCTAAATTGCTTGGCTATTCTCTATTGGTAGCTCTGGATTTGATTAAGAGCTTCTAGCCTACTTTCATCGATAGAATTCAACTAATTATGGTAATTCTAAGTTTATTCCATTTTGGGCAACTGAATTTCTCACATGACCCTGGCTGATCGAATCTGAACTTCAATAGGGAGGACTGATTCCATCCCATAGACTAATTATGAATATAGTGTTTCTCTAGTTGGCGTTCTGATGGAGGTTCTGTATCCCCATAAAGCAAATGGAAAATGTTCATGCTAATTTCTGTGATTGCTAATCATCTTCTGTAGGATGTTCTTAATGGAATTACTAGCCGCTTCAATTGCTCCATTAGTTTGGGGCTTGTATGGTGAAGATCCATTATGTTGAATTATGTACTTGGTCATAAGGGTTGAGACTTCCTTCTAAAAATGAGACCCATTATCTAATATGATCTCGAAAGGAATCCTGTATCTGTATGTGATGTTTGTTTGAATGAATTGTGCTAGTTTTCTCGAGTTCAGAACATGATAGGAGGCAGCTTTCACCCACTTAGTGAAGTAGTCGATAGCTACCAAGATGTACTCATGCCAGTTGAATGATTTTAGAGTAATCCTGTCACATCAATTGCCCACATTGTAAAAGGCCATGGTGTAGAGATGGGATAAAGAGCTATATGGGGCATCTTCTAAAGGTTGGCATAAATTAAGCACTTAGGACACTTTTGGATGAAGTTGGCACTGTCTGATCATATAGTAAGCCAATAATAACCCTGATTGGTAATTTTGTGAGCTCGAGCCATTCTGTTCATGTGGGGGCCTTTTTCTCCGCTATGCACCCACTTCATTATCTATTGAGCTTCTTCCTCTATTACACACCTCAGATGTGCCTAACTCCATGTTCTCT